TTTGTATTTCTGATGCTTTGAGGCCAGCTCACAACCCTCCCTCCACGTAATATTCAGGATGTTTGGGAAGGGGTATTTTTCTTTTAATAGGATGGCGTAGTCACAAAGCTTTAAAGAAATAAGTGAGTGAATCGTCTACGGTAATAGCAACATACTCTGGACGGAGCACAGTGACGAAGTTCACATCAATTTTTAAGCCTGCCTGGCAGCATGTAGGTGCAGAACAGAGCCCATGACCCTTTTTGCTGTTTTGAAGCCATGGACATGGCTGCTGTCTCTGTTCCAATTCAACATCAGAGCTGTTTTTTCTCCCTAACGAATACTATGGGAAGACAGAGAAGCTTCAAGCTGTTTTGAAGATTGTGCAATGATGCTTGGGAGCCTACCTGCTTTTGCTTGAGTGCTTTCCTCACTCATATTTCACAGGATGCGACAGGAAGGGAAATACAGTCGAATCCGACGGCCGTGGTAAATTTGACTCGAATCCTTCGTATGCCCTGGGGCTGAGGTGGGTGCCTCTTAGATAAGCAATCTAATCAGATTTGCACTTGGGTCCCATCTGGAAACAGATTGTTGCCGGAGTATACACCACCACCTGAGAAGCAAGCTTCAGGTTCGTTTTGAAGATAATTGTACAGACAAATTCAGGGAGTGTGAATTTGTCTGTGGTAATAAGATCTCTTTATTTTTATTCATAGTTAATTTGTTCAGCCGAGGCGATTTCATGCCAGAATGCAGTCCTCAAACAGGAAGGACGATTGCACTGCTTGTGGCACGCATATGCATGGTGTCTGCCCGGCAGATCGGCTGCTGCGACAAAGAGCCATGAACCACCCCAGACATATGGGCAAGATAAGGAAGAGGCTGGAGGATATCAAGAACCAGTCCCTGAAGTTGACAAAAGTGGATTTCAGCCACAACGAAAGCATAAGATTGGCCACCGACGCCTTCTTGGATGGTGGGACAGACTCTTACCTCGAAACTCTAAGCAAAGAGGGTGAGGTGGATTTCCTCTCCTCGGTGGAAGCTCAGTACATCAAGGATAACGCCAGGGAATCTTATTATGCACAGGAATCCCCAGGTGCCGACGGGGCAGCCGCGCCAAAGCAGAACGATGCCGGGTCACTCCCTTCAGGGACCTATTTCCCCACCATTTCTGACAACAGTGAGTCGGCTCTGCTCCACACATGGATTACAGCAGAGAAGCCCTATTTAAAGGAAAAATCCACCGCCACTGTGTATTTCCAAACAGAGAAGAATAGCAACATTAGAGACATCATTCGCCGGTACATCCACAAGACTACTCAGGTATGAGGAGACAATTGCTGTTCCCTCTGCACTCGGTTATTTCTTGCTCTTAAAGCTCAGATGAACGTGGTGTTTAACCCAAGGCAGCCCTGTGCATTGCAGCATAGCTTTGCTCTAGAAAGTGGCTGTGAAGAACCTCTTGTTGAACACAGACAGTGTTTTTTAAATTTTTTTTAATCTCACACCAATATTTTTTTATGTTGGTGGCTTAAAAAAAACACATTCCCTCTTCTCTCTTATAACCTCCCACCCACTCACAGCGGATTAAATGTGCTGTAGAAAGGGCAGCTTGGCTCTGTCCCTTCTCATGTACCCCCAGCAGAATGGTTTGATCTGTTGAGACCACTGCACCATTAATGAGAATTAAGCCTAAGTGAGTTCTCAGCCATTAGGAATTGTTCGAGGGGATTTGTGGGAGATGTGGGTGAAGGGGAAGCCAAAGAAAGGCAAGTATGTCTGGTATGTCAGCATCCATCCCCAGAGGAAGGAAATTATTCAGACAATAGACCTTTAATCCCTAATATGTACTGCCTGTATCAGTTAAAATGTCATGTGGGCTCCATACAGAGACTCTGCAGCATAATTTGGCATGTGGGAAAGGTACAGATGATGCCTCTGACTGAATACAGGTGATGGAGGCCACAGAGGTACCAGCCACAAGCCAAAGTCAGGCTGTCCTCACTCTGGGAAACAAGGAACTGAGCAGCTGGAGGGGGGACAGAAAACTAATGTCATGTGCATTCTAGCAGCTCTCTTGTTTTCCTGGAAAAAAAATGTGATACTTCAGGGCTGTGTTTACCATTCATCCAGGAGTTTTGCCCTTATATAAATTCAAAAGAGCAGCAGCAGTTTCAGCCAGGAATGGTCAGGAAGCAATAGTGCAATAGTGCTGCCCAGCACAGACTTCTGAGCCCTCTGGAGCTTTGTTACTCCCCTGCAAGGGCAGGTGCTGGCCCTGATAACACAGAGTGTAATGGCAGGGGAGGAGGATCCCCATTGGCACCTGCTCTCTCAAAGCCTACAAGTGCTTACCACACCAGAGGAATCACAGAACAGTCATTTTAAGTTGGAGGCATCAAAAAGACACAGAAACAGAAGAAGTGCCTCTGGAATAATAAAATAGGCATCAGGTAGAATATCAACCCTGACCAATATTCTTCCCCAAGAAGAAAAAACTTGTAGGCAAAAAACTGGGAAATGTAAGATAAATCCATGGTTCACATGACCTTCTTAATCATCTAATTTACATTACAAGAGTGTGCTGAAGCAACACTAACAGTATAAATTTGTTAACTGTTTTTTGAGCACAGTTTTCCAATGGCACCACTTATTAATTAGCATCTGGTGAGGGTCCATACTGGATAGCCTAGTATTTGATATATGCATTACAAAAATATAGACTGTGTTTATGGATAATCTCAAACTGTAAAAGACTGGCAAGGGATACTACAATTTTAAACACATTTGTGGAATTGGTGCAAATCACAAAATGAAATTTGGGCAAAATAAATTGGAAGTACAGAAAGTAAGAGAGGAAAGTCAGGTGCAGAAATATAAATTTGAACTGGTGGTGAAGAGCAGTACCAGAGAGAATGGTCTGGAGCTAGGACATTAATAGAAAGTGTGAATGTGAGATATTTGACATAATTGTGCTTACCTAGCCATGGCAAAGCTCTTTCTGAAGCACCAGGCTTTGGCAGCAGGAGGAACGTGTGGGATCCTCACTGCTCCATGAATCCTTTGGCTGCCTGAAGAGGACGCTGGCTGTGCAGGATGTGTGCTCGTCTAGGATATCCTCGTGGTGGCAAGGGAATAAGCTGCTGTTAGGTGTGGGCATAGGCTTTGGAGTAAGATTCAGAGCAAGCTGGAAGCAATTACTAAGACAGATCTACAGAGATGCTATGAAGTTGGTTTTGATTGATGGTGATATCCCATGAGTACAGTTCTCAAAGGTTCCCTCTCCAGTCATAAACAAGCACATCCTGAAGGTAAGTCAGGGCTGAACTGGCCCTTTCCATGTGCAATAGCAGACAAGACCAGCACTTTCTAGTATGGAACTGGTTTTATGTCACATTTACAGTTCCCTTGGTCCACACTGGCTCCAGGCTGTGCGTTTAAGTAGTTGTCAGGGTTTTTATGCCCAGTTCTGAGTCTTTTACAGTGTTCTGCCAGTTGTGAATTGGGGAGCATGGATGTGTGGTCACATTGTAACAGTTAGTTTATAAATCAGTGTTTTTAAAAAAATGGAGTTGGAGTCTATCATCCCACCAAGAACAGCAGGGTGAGGCTTTTTAAAGCCAAAGCTGTCCAGGTGTAAATCATAAAAGAGAAAGCATCGTCCAGGGATTCTTGCTGAATGTGTGTGGCTTATGACACCTAGTGAGCCGTGTGGAAAGGGCTGTGGTCTTTTATTTGGCTGCATCCTTATCATTCTTCGATAAGTATTTCAATATATTTCCTAGTGCTGAAATCTCACGTACAAATTAATGTCATCTTGGGTTATATGTTGTGTGTTTTACTGGCTTCACATGAGCAATAAAACAATGAGGCAATATGTTTAATCAATTTAGTGATTCAGGCACTTACAGGAAGAAAATCAGATAAAATATCCACAGATAACTGAATATTTGTGTTTATTGGAATATTTTTAACAAATAAACTACATCACAGTGTCCTCATAGCAACCTTAAGTTATGTAAATTAACTCTGCTAATGCCTCTGCTCTTTTTCTGAAGGTGTTGGCTATCGTGATGGATGTGTTCACAGACACTGAGATTCTCTGTGACCTCCTGGAGGCAGCTAACAAGCGCATGGTCTTTGTCTACCTGCTGCTCGATCATGGCAGTATAGATCTTTTCTCGGAGATGTGTGACAAGTTGCAAATTCCTGAGGATCTCTTCAAGGTACTGTGGCTTTGTGAAGCTCTTATGCTGAGAGTTGTGTGGCTAACTGCAGGCAGTCTGAGCTAGAAGCATAGTTATGCTAGGGTCAATCCACCTTCTAATTAAAAGGGAGCAAGAGATTTCCTGGGGTAGTGTTAGCACCCCCAATTCCTCTTTGAAGACGCCTACATTTTCCTATGGCTATTATAGAAAGGTAAGGCATTTCCACTAGGTCCCCAGATGAAACTAATCTTGACCCTCAAGTCTTAAAACAGGACTTAAATTTCCCTAGTAGAGTTATCTAACATAGGCATTAGAGCTGCTTATGTTTAATAGCTCTGCAGTAGCTGTGGTCTGACAGCCACAGGGAGAAGGTGCACAAAACTCTTTTGCATGGCCATAGCTTGGTTGCACTGGGTGATTTCTGATAAAATGTGTTAAAGTTCTTTTAAAGATAACACCTCAAATTTAGGTGGCTGCTCATTTAATCTGCCTTCATCTTTGTCAGAGAGACCTGGCTTTAAAAGAACCCCTCTAGGGATTATTTCAGGTGGGATTATTTCAAATCCCCTGTACGATTTGTTGCTTGAGATGCTGCAGAGCTCCTATGGCATCTTCCTGGGGATGGGTGATACTGCAGAGGTCACAGACCTCTGGAATGGCAGCTGTGGGCACACAGGAGACCTGAGGGCATCTTACATGCACCAAACACTTGGTTTTCAACAGCTGAATTCCATTCCAAATATATAAAGAAGCTGAAATTAATAATGCGTGTTCATGACTGTTTACATGCCTGTAAACCCTCACTCCTAAGAAAAATAAGCCTGTGCAATTTATTGCAAGTCTGCTGCTACAGCACATAGGCTTCAACAATGTCCGAGTCAAATCCTTGGTGCCACTCATTTACTAAGGCCTTCATTCTGCAAAGTGTGTGTATGGACAGCAGAGTCAGGGCCTGAAAAGCACTTACTCAGGTACAAGGACAGTGCAGAGCATCCCACGGGCCAAAGTGACCTGCATCTCCCCTCACACGAGTACCTGCACCTGATGCTGAAGGACAGCATCTGTCTGGGCAGCTCCAGCAGAGCAGCAGTGTGTCCTTGCAGGCCAGATGGATTGGAGGAGCAGAGGTTTTGCCCTGCTGTGTCATGGCACAGATAGTGTAAATCGATGGAGTACAGCTACAGCAGATTGCACCTGGGGTGTCAGTGGAAGGCAACAGGCTGCTCCCAGCTATGGACACATCCATGCTCCTTTTGGCTGGTCAGTTACTGTCACACAGCACAGCTCCCCCTGTGTGAGCTTCCATGCGGGTTTATATCCCCAGTGAAACAAATAACTCCGTGGAAGTGAGAGACCTTTGATGCCTCACTTGGGGGGGTGAGGGGTGGGGAGGCAGGAGCTGGGTGTTCCTCCAGTCCAGGGGTTTACCTGATGCCTTGAGGTCCCTTCTGGGGTGATGCCTTGAACTGATGCCTTGAAAGGCTGACCTGGAACAGAGACTAAGCAGAGCAAAAGGAATAGAATAGGTATTTATTGAAAGGATCCACCTTGGGCAGTGCAAGAGCCCGGCCGGGTCTACACCCAAACCAAATCCAGGATGGATCCCCATCACGAGTTTTTACACTTTTATAAGTTTTGTTGGTCTGAATCTTAGGGTTAATTATCCAACCACAGCCCCAGGCTATGAAGTATCAGCCCTCTGGCTTGCCCCCTTTCCCTCGCTGCTGTTTGTGCTTTTTGGGTGATGGGTGTCCTTGATTCTGTAGCCAGGAAGGGATTGTTTTGTCTAACTACCCAGTAAAGAGAACTTACTAACACTTAATATGAAGTTTCAAAGTTACACACTAAGCAGCAGAGATTCTGAAAAATATAAAAGCTAAAACCCATCACCTTGACTAGGTTTCCTCTAGACACAAACCTTCAAATATCACATCAGAGAGTCCATGAAGAAATTTGACTTTGGGGCAGTGAAGAGCTAAAGGCAGTGGGGGGGAAAGGGTCCTCCCTGTCTGATTTTTAATTAAAAAGAGGTGTAATTCACTCAGTTTTATTTTTATTTGCAGAATATTTCAGTCCGCAGTGTTACTGGAGAGGTTTACTGTGCCAAGTCAGGCAGGAAATTTTCAGGACAAATTCAAGAAAAATTTCTTATCTCTGACTGGAGATATGTGCTCTCTGGATCTTACAGGTGAGATAAACCACTTCACTTCATGTCTAGGTACTCTTTTATGATTTTTAATACTTCTTCCCAAAAAAGTGCCATGGAAATTTTTTTAAGGTAAGAAGCTTTATTTAACAAAAAACATCTCATGTTTTCAAATATGTGACATTTTTCAAAAATCTACTTAAAGCTGCTCTTAGTTTTTATGGAGCATGGGTTTTAATTTAAATGTTCAGAAACGAATGTAAACAACTTTGCCAGTGCAGCCCTGGGGCAAAACTAGAAATGTGTACAGCTTAATATTATGCTCTCCTCATTGCTTGGGTTCTCAGGTGTTGTGATCATGAGACATGATACATTTCTGTCTCCCTCGGGATCCCTTAATGTAGCATATGTCACTCAGCTTATCTGAGGATTTCTTCTTCATATGACGAATTTAGTAATTAAAGGTAAAACAGAAATACTTCAGAGAATTACTCTTTTTCCCTGTGTTTCCTTACCAGGTAGGCAGTATATATCTACATAACTTCTGTACCTTCATGTTTTCCCTTTTTTAAAATTTTCTTTGTTTGTTTGTTTGTTTTGTTTGTGCTGCTATAATTATTTCAGGTAGTGGATATAGCATCTCAACAATCGGATTTTTAAGTAAGATCCTAGATCCTCTGGTCAGGCAATTTCATGAGACTCTGAGCTTACAGCAAATAAATGAAGTTTCTGAGCATCATAGCTACACAGATATGTTTCACAAATGACCAAGTGTATCCTAGAAATCCAGGTACAAAAATACAAGAGGTGATTATTTAAATTTAAAGGATGCGATTATTTTTCTTAATCTCAGTTTACAATTTGGAATTTTAAATGCCTCTGGTCTGATAAAACTGTGCCACCAGGAAGTTTACAGAGCTATAGTAATGAAGGAAAAAGTGAATTTTTGGGGATGGGCTGCAAGAGCTGAGATGTACACTAACAGAGGTACCCACTTTTCATTCAATTTCCAAATGAACCATCAGACAAAACTTAGTGGACATTCAGGGTTGAGGTTTTTTTGCTTTCTTGTTATTTTGGGTTATTTTTAATCCCTCACCAAAGATATGTTGAAATCTAACTGCAGACTTATATAGAGTAGAAGTGATGGATGTTGGGGAGAAGGACAGAACAAGATCTATTTTCTTTGACAAGGGAGCTTCCTTTTGGCTTCTCTTTCAATACCAGAAAAACTAAAAACACCTGAAGTCCTATGCAGTCACTTCTGGTTTTTTTGACTGCTGCTGAATATCTTCTAATCTCAAGTACCTTGTCAAACTATATAATTTCATATCCAGCACACAAACAGAGGGTGGTGAGGAACAAATGTATTTAAAACTATTTTACTTCAGCACATTCAGCACCAGTTTGCAATTCACATGGGTTATAGATGGCTACCAGTATGTTGCATTTCTTGCTAGCTCTCACTTTATTAATCTGAAAGATTTTTCTTATGCCTAAATCTTATCCATCAACCTCTTCAGGTATAAATAAGAATGATGTTGAGTGAAACAAACTCATACAACACCAAATTTCACCAAAGTGCTGAGCTCTGCATGATGCTGTAATAGTGGTGGGGGGAACGGGCTGAGGAAATAAAACAGTCCTTCAGGATATACTCTCGATTTTTATTGCCAGTGTCTATGGTGACCAGTTAGAATGCAGTATTTTTTTTTTGCTGTCTCTGTGTCACTCTGTCTCATCCTATGGTAACTGTTATTCCGTATTTTAAAATGAATTTGAAATTAGATAATGCATGGACTCTGCATTCCTAAAGAAAGCAAAAAGCATAGACTTTGATTCCCAGGGGCAGCTGAGTATCTCCCTGGCTGCCACTCTGAAAGCCACTGGCCTCTTCAGAGTCAGCATCCAACAACATGGACATGCTTTGCCAGGAGCATCAGTTCAGGTGGGGCAGGTTTCTCCCACACAGGTTATCCATCAGCAGGCAGCATTAACATGTAGGGTAACCCAAACCTGAGCCCAGCTGAAA